TAATATAGTATTCTTATCTTCTTTTCTTTAGTTTTACTTGTATAGTTACTAGACAACAAAGCCAGTGTCATATAGCTATTCGCCAGGTAACAAATTAATTTGAAGTAATTTAGCAACTTTAGATAAAACGACCGCTGAAAATGAGTTACCAAATTATATTCGATTGTTCACTTGGTGCTAAATTTCATTGCGATTGAATTGGCTTATTTACTGATTTGAAATCACAAACGGAATTATTTTAAAAACTTACCTTTGTCTTTTGCAATTTATGTCTGTCGTCAACGGAAATCAAATTCCCTCTATCAATTCTATCGCATCTGACCAATTTCAAACACATCGACGAGACCCATCGGGGATACCAATTTGTTGAAATTAACACATCTGTTTTATATATATTGATGTGATCGTGTTGATCCCTGTAAACATTTCATTTTGTATAAGGTTAGATGGAGTCACGAAATTAAATTATATCGTTCTCTTTTGGACGTTTAATTTCAATAATGATATCATAAATGGTAGTTTATATTTAATTAAATGAATTAAGTTTGAACTCAAATTTACCTCGTCGATTTACATTTGTTCAACAGAAGAACAGAAGTTAAATTAAGAAATTACAAAAACCAGAAGCATAAGCCAATGCCTTTATTTAGGAAAAAACGAAGTTTTTATAGCGTAAGTTTGTAGTCGCGAAGTTAAGAAGAATCTTAGAAATAACATTGGGAGTAAAAGTTGTAGCTATAAGTTCGATTTTATTATTATTTTTTTTTTTATATTGTTTTTTTTTATTTTCCGTTTTATTTGGGTGTTATTTCTCTCTAATTTTTATTGGTCCTGATTTTTACTATATTTTCTTTCGATTTTTGCAATATGGGGAAATCGAAGTATGAGTAAAATTATATTTTTATCAATAGTTTCAGATTCATGTCTTTACATGATAACTTGTTCGAATATTCTTTTTGTAAATTACGAGAAGAAAAGAATTGTAACTATGAAAAAGAAGCCATGGCATTAAATCGAATAAAAAGACAAAATGGATAGGAATTGGTTTTACATTTTATTGAATGGAAAATGTATCATAAATACCTGTAGATAGTGTATGTTATATATTTAGGTATTTTATAGTCACTCGTTGTTTTAAATTATAACTGCGATTATATCAATTTATGCATAAAGTTATGTTAATAGAGTGATGAGACTTTGATAAAATATTTGTCTTTATAATGTTTTTATCTTTTATCATAGAGAAATGTTAGATGAAAATTGGATGTTAAACTTTACCCATCTAAACAAATGGATTTTATTGGTAATTTTTGTGATGAATATCAATTCGCTAATCCATAGTTCAAAAATTTTTTTTTTTTTTTTTTTTTTTTTTCTGTTTTTCTGCATTGACATTCGTTCGTTAAAGAATAAACATAATTCAAATATAATCCTCAGTTTTACATTGATAAACTATCCAACCATTATCTTAATTATTCAGTATGAATATAGTTTTAATTCTTACAACTATTTTTCTACTATAAAGATGGCCCCTACAAATATTTTCTGATGAAATATATTCAACTAGACTAAGTGTTGAAAATCAGATTTGGACTCTTATTGTCTCGAGAAATCATATTATATGAAGAACCTCTTTGAATCTAACAAGATTTTACCGAAGATGATGTGATCGAATTTTAATTGACAACATAATCTTTGAGCTTAGATCATTGATAGTTCAAAAGCAGACGGTTTTCTAATAAGTACTATTTTGCGCCCTTCCTGATTGGCTTGTTTTTGTATTGATACGAAGCAGAATTAATACAGAACCTTCACAAAGAAAAATAAAAGCATCTTGTAAAGTTCTTTAAATTCACTATGTAACTATATAACCCATATTTCAGTGATATCCTACATATAATATATCCTAGTGAACTTCCAATTAAGGAGAGTACCGAAACTAGAAGGTCGGCTTTATATCTAGACATTTTCTTCGAAATTGAACCAGACAGACGACTTCAAACTATAATCTATTACAAAGGTGATGATTTCAACTTTCACTTTGTCAACTTCCCATTTCGTATCATTGAAATACCTTCTGCTTTCACCCTATAGCGTTTACATATCTTATTTAATACACTACGTTCATGCATTTTCACATTATAAAGACATCATTAACAAGGATGAGCTCCTTGCACAAAAATTGCTCCAGCAGAGTAATGAGAAAGAAAGTCTGAATTCGACAATATAAAAGTTTTACTGTCCCCATTCCGAATTGGTTGACATATTCGATGGGTCTGTTTCTCAACTCACTAGTGATATGTTTAAGCGGTCTTAGATCTTTAGATATCAGAATAGTCGTCTGAATCTGTAAATTACGGATTGTTTCATATTCTTGTTTGTGACCATTCGACTGATTTTCGATTTGCATGGTGGGTGATGGAAACATATATTTAGCAGGAGACTCTTATCCTGTCGACGAACCCAACTGCTTTCGATTTTTGATTGGGTAATTTTATGTTTGCTTCGTCAGCCAGTATACCAACTCACTAAGCACCTAAATCACAAAAAGGTTCGACATAAACATCACCCAGAACAATGTGAATATCAGGTGTCATTATCGATAAAAACGACTAACAACTGAGATATTTTTTGTTCAGATTATCAACTTTTTATGTCCACTTCTTAACTCAGCTTAATTACCTTTTTTGCATATAGCGGTATTGCCGTAACAGTGTGGACAACCGTAGTACTTTTGTTGTTAAAAATACCGAATCATTTACCTTGTTTGTCATCGGCTATCGATAACAATGATTTTACGCTCACTCAATCTGTCAGAGGCCTTCCAGTGGGGATTTAAATAACCACTTGATACACATTTCGATACATTTCACAAAACTTTAAAGGAATTTGTTTGAAATATTCTTTATATCAGCACACACAACAGTTTCATTTTTAGAGAAAACTAGGATGAAAAATTTTTTCCTGCATTTTTTTTTAGTTGTAATCTCTGTCCTGCCTTTTTATTTTTCACACTATTCGGTCCTGCCTTTTTTAATTAGATTATCCAGACTTTTTGTACATAAATTGTCATCCTGCATTTTTTTTTTGCCAAGTTTTTCATCCTGCCTTTTTTCTTACTCAAAACTCCTGTCCTGCTTTTTTTCAAATTTCTACCAAACTTGGCCAGAAGCTTGTTTATGATCAAAAGTTAGTATCTAGAAGGAAATTTTGTAAAAACTTATTTCCTGTTTTTCCGTAAATTACTTATAAATGGACTTAGTTTTTCTTCCAGTTAACATTGCATACAGTCTTCAGTTAAAGTTTTTAAAACATTTATTAGATTCATAAACATCCTGGATTTTTACCAAACTTATTTAAAATTATCTTCTTTATTATTTGTTCATTCAATAAATATATGTTTCAATTCTTTTAGAAATCTATAGATTTGATTGCATAATGTATTCATTTTTTACAAGCATAACTTTTCAAACGTTTTATTTCATTAACTGTAAATCTATTATGTGCATTCCCCTTTCACACTTAAAACATAGACAACAGCAAAAGTAGGCGAGACACTGGGTTCCGCGGAACCCTTATGAATTTTTTATATAGATTAGACCGTTGGTTTTCCTGTTTGAATGGTTTTACACTAGGCATTTTTGGGGCCCTTTATAGCTTACTGTTCGGTGTGAGCCAAGGCTCCAAATTGTGACTTGGATAGAGAGTTGTCTCATTGGCACTCATAACACATCTTCTTATATCTATTCGATAAACATTTTGTAAATAAAAAAAAAAATTATTTCAATTTCAATCCATATTAAGCTGTTGCTTTATTCCGCTTCGGGCAAATTTTGATTCCATTTTAAAAATTAATTTCCTGCATGAATCATATATTATATGCACATTTTTATTACGATCTTAAAAAGGACGAAGTTGGTATATAAACTGCCGTCAGTTATTGTGTGTTTGTGTAAATTGGGCCTTTTAAAAAAAATGTTTGATTCTAAAAAAAAATTGGAAAGGAAAAAAAAATACTTTGTTTTAGCAAAAAGAGGAAAAAACTAATTGATTTACATTCAAAATTAGGGACGAAAAAAAAATATGACACTTAAGATTAAAAAAGTAATGTTCATATATGTGCATGAGAAAAAAACCAATCTCCCCTCACAAAAAAAAAACAAAAAAATAACACACACACACTCAGAAAAGGAAATTTAGTCGGTCCATAATCATTCTGCTACCAAGGGTTTTTTACAAGTATAGTAGTTAGCAGAAAAGTTCGAGTTTCCAAATTACACCAAACTATACATTTTACCTACTAGTATTTCGTGAAGTAAATGCAAATTTCATTAGGCTTGGTCCAAATAGTTTTTTACTGTCCAATATCTTTCAAGCACGAAAAAGACAGTACAAAAGTATATTTTGTCTGTGTTTTGTAATTGCACAACTATTGAAAGTTGAACATGCATTCGTTCTAAAATAAAATTTTACACAAGATAAAAAGTTAAAAGATACTAAGTGAGAAAATTTGATAACCGCAATGGGTTAATCGCTTTGACGTCCGAAAACGATAATAGCAAACACATACATTGTAACTTTTTAAGCTAGTTAAATTAATTTTTATGTTTAAAGAACGTGCGATATCATACAAATTGTTTATAAAAACATAACAAACACGCAAGTAAAGAACGTTTAAGTATTCAATATTAATCAAAACACAAAGGTCATTCCTGTACTAGTATTTCGAATTATTTGATTTAGGCGTTGAGAACCTTTGGTGACCCCACAGTTTAAATGTCTATAATAAATACAACGTAATAAGTGAGCGGTACAGACGAACGTTGACCTAATTTAACCCTGTAAATGGGAGACTTGAGCGCGCCAAAAAATGGTCTCGTCCACACTGTTATGAAAACGATACTATATTTTAGAACCATTTTATTTTGTTAACGAGAATCATTGGATTACTGTTCTCATTAACGTTAACCACATAGCTTCTTTTATCAATAACGCATGCATATTTTAGAATGATTTATTAATAGTAAACATAACAATTATCAAATAACAAATTAAAAGAATTCCAAAAATTTAATGTGCTTAAGTAAAATGTTTATCTAGTACGTCTTTATGTACATTTCCTAAGGTTTGTAAAACTGAACATTCAATTCAAGTGCAGGTTGATATACCTCGCCTGCTTTACTAATCATGATTAAAATTATGTTAAAAGTCTTAAAGTTTTAATTCAAGCATCATATACACTTAACATTATCGATGATCCGTTAAAATAAGGTATAGGTGAGTTGAATCTTGTTTTACGGACATATACACCATTCAATTATTCCATACACCAAGTATAGTTAATATATTGCTTAAAGTATCTAAGAAACAAACTTAACCACGACAACTCAACATTGACAACTGAGCCATTTAATTAGGTTAAGATCCTGATAAGCCCTGTTTGACGGACATATCCACCTACATTGGTTCCATACACCAAATATAGTTTACATATAGCCTCTAGTATCTGAGGTATGGACTTGACCACGAAAAATCACCATGCTTAGTGATCCTTGAAATAACGTCAATGTCAGGAGAACCTAGTCGTTTCAAAGATCCAGTGTACCAATTACAATAAGTGAAAAATTACGTGAAAAAAAACTATTACGTTTTTAAGCAGTCATTTAACCGTAGAAATGAGATCAAGTACAATGAACAAGATGACAGATAGGAACATTAGAAAATGAGGTACCGGTATATAACCAGATCTTCTGTCTTCGGAAATATACAGCTTGATGCAAATAGTATTAATGCCATTATTGTCGCCGGATTAGCATCCCTATTTGCGCATTCTGTGACTTTAGTAGGAGTCGATCTGAAAACTGAAGCAATAGCTTTAAGCTGCTTAATACCTTCTTTTTTATTAATACGACTTTGACAGATTTGATTAAATTTTGTAAAAATGCTATGATCTTGTTATTTTTCGAAACAAAACTCATACGATGACTGGAGTGTAGTTGTTTCATTGGCAATCATACCGCATCTCCTTACTTTTGATTTAATATGATACTTAAAACTTTCAGAGACCTTCTCAATTTCGAGACCTGATTTTTTCAGGTTCACGCATTTTAAATGATATCAGGAAATTGTAATGTGTTTGATATTTTTTTTTAAATAATTTACCACTCTTATAATGTCATTCTTTTGATTGTTAATACTAATAAGGATTAAGTTGTATTGAAAGGTTTTGAAAGCATTATGACTTTTTGAAATCGGCTTAAAAGAGAATGAAATAAAACAATACATGTAGCAAATAAAAATTATTGTCATATATTTTCATCCATGATCAGTATGTTTTTTGCATGCAATAAAGATATGTTTGTACTTTTTTGTCAATACCTTCGCTCAACTAGTTACACTTTGTTTGCCACAGAAAAGAAAACCTATGTAATAAGATAATGTTGGCATTCTTGGTTAGGATAAATCAAGAAAAGCTTTTCGGATGCAGGAAATTTATAGAGTATTATTCTCATCATATAATAGACAGAATGCCTAAAAATAGTTATAAATGCAACACTTAAAAATTTAAAAAACAAAACAGCAAAAATTAAATTTAAATAAACACAACCAAAATTAAATAAAACATTATACAAATATACATCTAAAACCAAATATTTACTTGAGCAAAAATGCATAAATAATAATATTCATGGCATATTTCACTCTGTTCAGTATATGTACCACAAAAAAAAAACATCATAAAATAATAAATACTATTCTACATCAATGTAAAGGGGTATTTGATATCAAATATAAATGTAACTAAATTAGGGACGGAATTCATTACTTATATCACAACTGTAATGACAGACATTTTCCCCAATGAAACAGAAGAAACACACGATATTGTCTAGCATATTAACATTGAAATACCAATAAAAATATTTGCAGTACAAATATATTTCAGATAAATAGTATATTTATAAATCTCAAAATGGAACATATTAAAACTGTATAGATTATGTTTGTCTCATAGACAATAGGCGGTAATGAGACAATCTTAAAGTTGATATTTTAACAAGTGTTAGAATTTTAATGTCATATTAAATAGAAAGTTTTATTTTAACCTTTTAGTGACTTATTTAAAACCTGAGTGAAAAAAGTCTGTTTCCATTTATATCACAATAAAAAAAATATAAAAACGAAAAGCTCGTCTTTGTAAACTCATGACGAGTCTATTTCAAATTTATGCCCGAGATATCAACATAGACTTGTTTCTGTCATTGATTCATAATAAAATTATAAAATGGCACAAACATTTCTTAAATTAGGCAGACCTGCTGCCTTCTGTTGGTTGAAAGACATACAAAAGACAAAAAACACGAAAAAGTCAATAAATATATGTCATAATACATCTGATCTAGATACATTTATGTATATAGTACTATGTTAAGTAATTGTAACAATATCTTATAAAATAATACAAAATAAAATCCTTCAAATGTATTGCAAAACAGAGGGGACATCTATCCTCCACAACCTCCTCCGCATCCTCCACCACAACCTCCTCCACATCCACCACCATCACCGCCACCGCAACCGCCGCCATCCCCGCCACCGCCATCCCCGCCACCGCAACCGCCACCATCACCTCCATAGCCTCCATCATCACCTCCATATCCTCCATCACCTCCATAGCCCCCATCATCACCTCCCCAACCCCCACCATCACCAAAGTCTCCACCAGCCCCATTATCTCCGGCTTCAAAATCTCCGACATCATTGTCATCATATCCGTAATCTCCATTGTCATGATCACAGTCATAGTAATTATTCTCTATGTTCATGTCACCACCATGACTTCCGAAACCACCATGACTTCCAAAACTGCTCCAACTTCCCCAGTATCCACCATAAGGATGTGGTCCCCAGCCCCAACCATATCCCCACCCATAGCCTGGACCGTATCCACCGAGACCATAGCCTAATGCACCTCCTAAAAGCATTCCTGAAATATAATGTGAAATCAAAACTAGTTTAATCAAACGTGTTTCAATGATGCCTTTGTATATGTTTTACAATACAATAATGATATATACTACGATTGGAATGTGTTTGTAAATGTACTACTATGAATCTATGACAAATGAGACGATCTTGATTTTGAAATTATAGATTTCTCCCATCTTAGCAGCAGTATACCAACTTCACCTGCATAAGATATATACATTTCCCAACTCATTCGGTATTCAAGAGCTTGAAGCTGATACTCAGGCATTATAAAACGTCAGCAGTGTCTAAGCAGAAAGTTGATGAACCAGGGTATTTGTACATCCCGCCATTGTGTTATTGTCCTATGGTCATTTTTTGTATTTGTATGGTCAACCATATCTTGTATCTTTTGAGGAGTGAATTGTTTTTATACTTTGATATAAAAGTTTTGATAACATAATACACATTCATTGTGATTATAATTGTGACAATAGTCCGATTCAAATATGAAAAATGTGGAAAGGATTTCTAATAATTTTTTTATCAAGATAAATTATAGGAACATAGTACTAAAATAACAAAAATACTGAACTCCACGGAAAATTCAATGGAAATTTCCTTATCAAATGGCAAAATCAAAAGCTTAAAAATGAAAGACAAGAATACAAAAAATGTTTTTACATTATTTATTAATTTAACTTATTCCAACTTTTTAGTGTAACGCATTCTTTTTGTAGAAACAGTTTTTGTATATGCAAGTTCCTTTTGGCTTTCTATATATAACGATATTTTCATACATCTATGACGTTCAAGGCCCTTGGCAATGATATTCCTGATAAAATCATCATATAATACAAGCAGCAAAATGGTTAATTATTTTTTGATTGTATGGATTTCGTAAACTTAAATGAGAGGTCTATATCCTAACCATTGACAGAAGAAAAAAAATCCTAGGTTTATAGAAACAATCATGTCAAATATGGATTCTTAATAAATATTGTTAAAGCTTAACAATCGATTATTTCACCAAAACTAGTTCCTGCTTCTACTGAACTTACCAGTTGCAAAGTCATTATTGTCACGATGTCCTCCTCCACCATTCTGTACTACAACAGTTGTGTGACCACCTCCTTGACCTGAATTGGTAATATATAAAAAAATTAATGAATTCATTATTCTTATATAATTTAATTTTGGATGTATTATTCTTATATAATTTAATTTTGGATGTAACAAGTCTTCTGATTGGCTGAAAGTTTTTTGTCTATTAGCTCATAGACATAATTTTGTCATGTGACATTGAGATCATCAACGTTATTCATGATTTACTCCTTAAAATGGAATTTAGAAATAAATTATAAGGAATGACTTTAATATTTTTTTCTGTCTATTCGAAATAACCTCAGAAATGTGTAGCACACTTTTTAATAACACGCTACGTGGGTTCTTCAGTGTGCACCACATTTTTGATGTTATTTCTTCATAGAGAGAAAAAATATTTTAGTCATTCCTTAAATAATATTATTTAAGCGTCATTTATACAGAAACTAAGGTTTCAACTCCCTCAGGCAAAGTTGGTCTTTAGATGGATTTGGCTATTTTTTTTAGGTCCTATTTGGTTTATAGCTCTTCAACGTTTTCGGTCCTTATACATCCTTGGCTTTAAAATATTTGACTTTGAGCGTTCCTGATGAAGGTAAATCCAGAAAACCGCTTCGACCGCATGAAATTTATAACGTGTTGTTTTCAATTTTTTTTGGAACATGTTGTAATTCATATTTGGGGATCTTTTGAATATTGAAAATTTACCCATTTGTCAGAAATTTTACTTTTGGTACTGCCACTTTAATTTTATAATATGGTAATTTGTTAGTTATATAAACATTATCTTGACTTACAGTCATATCAGTTACTTCATGTCCAGCAATTTGACAAAAAAATATACCACTAAATACATAAATGAGGTGGGAGATACCAACGGGACAATAAAAAATTAACCATTGTCTTTGGCCAAAAAGAAAAATAAAGATAAACAGTTTACAAAGAACTACACAGAAAATTAAAGATGGAACAACAAGAACCCACGCAAACGTCGGGGAGATGTCTTCATATTTCTATATTCATAGTCGAGAAAAGAGGACATGATTGTGATTATAACAGAAACATTTCCATGGTCATCTGTGACACCTTTATTCTATAACGGTCCACCAAATCATGATGACGTACATAAAGGGTGATTTCATTACTAGTTTTTTATTAATCATATAATTACAATCCAAATGCAGAAAAAAAAACACTTTCAAAGTATTTTTCTTTTTTATTCATATTTCGTTCTGATTAAGTTTGCACGGGAACCTGGCTCACTTGACGAAAAGCTGAAATCTCGGCAAGGATCCCAGATCCCTGGCTATAAATAAGACTGTATCCATGATAAATTAAATCAAGTATAATTATTTTACTAGACTTCAATCATCCAATAAGTTATTTATTTAATTTTTGTTTGCTTTATAGCTTTTGTTTGTTTTTACTAACCGTTCTGTCTTGTTTGCTGGTTTGGTGGATAGCCATTATTTGTTGGTGGGTAAGCTAAAAATGAAGAAAGTATCATAGTAGAAAATATTTTAATATAATTTATAATCTATACTTCTTATGACAGGATACAATTTGCAATTCAAGCATTGCATAGAATGAAAATGTATACTCTTAGTTATGCGAATGATGATCTTTACCCATATTTGCATTTATGAAAAGTATAGGAGATAGAGACAAAATGCAAATTACTGTCCTTCAATAGTGATTTTCGACCAATGTCAGTATCTTAAATAATACCGGGTATATTAAAAACTATGATAGATAAACTGAATCTTTAAACAGCAAAAAAGATGAGCAATACAAGATCTACAAATCAAAAGTTAATACGTTTGTTATTGTCAATAAACTCATGACAAGGGTTGTTTCCCCTAAATGACAATAATTATTACGACCCATTTTTCATAGTACTTTCTTGAACACTATAACGGATGGATGATACTCGGTCCATAAAAAAAATTGCAGCCAGACAAGATTTTTCACCCACACAGTTTCCATAAAAGACAACTATTCTTCTGACATTGTATCAGTGTTGTGCAAAAGTTCCAGGTCAGCGATACAGTGCATTGGAGTCTCTAGTTTGTTTATATTTCAAAATAATCATAAAGTGTACTGTGGATTCATAACTATTCGTTTGATACCAATTTTCGTGGATTTCGTGGGTACATCTGAACCACAAATTCAAATGTTCAACGAATTACAAATTTTCTATAGGCTTTGTATGCAGAGATCGGCAAAACCACGAAATCAAATATCCACGAAAATTGATACCCACGAAAATAAATGAACAGTATGCAACATTTGATTTGCATTCAAAGTCTAATCCAGCGTCAAATATAGTATCTGATATTTTGAATATAATACAAAGATAAACTTTTTAAGAAAAACTTATTAAAAATAGCTGACTTACCAGGATTGTTGTTAGCAGCTGCAATAGGAAAATTTTGAATCAAATCGCAGTTTATACAAAGTGTTACATATTTCATAATTTATAAATCATGTATGAACTAGCATGTTTTGTTCTGAATTTCAATGTATTGAGCTTTTGACCAAAGTTTTGATAAAATACAAATAAAAAAGGCATTGGGTACGTGAATGTGCGTCCAGAGAGATTTTCTGGATTTACCTTCATCATCAACTCTCAAACCCCAACTTTTGAAAGCCACTGGTGTAATAAAACTTGAATACCTCATAAGCTATATGACCAAAATACACACATGATATAACAGCTTAATCAATAACAGGTCAATTTTGCCTGAGTGAGTTTTTTTTTCCCTTCTAAAAATGTTAAACTTTTACTCTAATCAAAAACAGAAACCTAATATCTTTTTAAACTTTACTCTAATCATAAACAGAACCCTAATATCTTTTTTATCTTGTAATGTATAATTAAATGAATGGTCTTGAAATAAAGAAAACAAGTGAAATCGACGAAAACACATTTTAACTTTCTCAATGAACAATTCATAGATTTTCCAAAAATGTGAAACATTGCTGTTAGATAAATTTCCGTTTCACTGATGAAAATAATCATAGGATCACCAACTTCATTTTTTGTTTGTTTCAACCTTCTGTTACTATATTCGTAGAGAAAAACACCGAAAACGAAGTTTGAAGAACACGGAATTGAATGATCGTTATGTAACAAAATGTTGTGGGTAATTCTTTGATCATGATTAACAAACAAAACTGAAATAATATCAAGATATTTGTTTTCTTGATCGACAACATATTTGTTAGGTTTGAGGACGCGTTTCTCAACAACAATCGGCATTCCCATGGGAACCAGCTGTAATACGCTTCTTGCCGACTTGTTCCATTATTCATATAGGGCTGACTTCATACAGAAACTTCTAATGGGGAATAAAACATCTAGCATTATCCTTTAACTTCACGTTCCGCTATATAGATGATGAACTCTCTCTAAATAATTCAGAGTTTGGTGACTATGTTAAAAGCATATATCCTACCGAACTTGAAATAAAGGATACAATAAATACAGTTAATTCTGCCTCCTATCATGACTTACATCATGATTTTATTCACTAAGATGGCCATGGATATGTAACACCTTATTATCGTAACCACACTCTCTTCTTAGTTTGAGACACTAGCGAATGTGACATATCATCGATTTATAACTTTCAATGAGCAACAAACAAGTGCCAATAGTTGAGCAGGAATTTCTTACTTTTCCTGGAGCACCTGAATTTACCCTCCATTCCGTTTGTTTATTGTTGTCCAATCTTTTTTTTTTAAACTGATTTTGTCGATTTTCCTTGATCATCATGTTGATTGATTTTCTTTGAATTGTTATTTCCTTCCCTTTTTGTTTACGTTAAACAGGTCATCATTATTTTTTTTTATATTCACTTGAAGTTCAACATGAAAAAGTTCTATGCCAAATCTTACAAAACATTATGACATTGAAAAATTACTATTTCGTGACCTTAAGATTTGTTTCTTTTTCACACTTACGATGCACAACATTAGGATTGAATCCATATGGTGGTGGTTGTCCGTTTTGTCGTGGTTGACCATTCTGTTGTGAGTGACCATTCTGCTTTGCATGGTGAGAATGAGGCGGTCGTTCTGGTCTGGGAGGAGGTGGAGGTAGCTTAAATAAAATATATCACTTTAATCAATGAAAATCCGAGGAAAAGTTCAGTTGATTAACACAACTTCAATTGATAAAAAATTAATTACTGTTTCGCATTTTATTATACAGAAAGGAAAACAAAATTATATTCTCTAAAATGCGTCTCAATGAAAGTTTTAATATACAAATCACTTTTGTTCCAGAAACATAACACTGATGACACAAGTATTTAAACTAAAGCTACATTTATAGGTTTGGGATTTTTATTTAATTTGACCTCGAGCATCACTGAAGAGACATTTATTGTTGAAATGCGCATCAGGTGCTGTAGAATTGGTACCGTTAATGATGTTAATACCCCTGGGTCGATATACTGGGTCGACTGCAAGTCGCAAGGGTATCACCAACTCAGTAGCCAGTACTGACTACTTGTATGAAAATACGAATATTGTTTCTTTGTAATTTACTGTTATGAAATTTCTTAAATCATTTTAAATCAAGGAATGTATCTCCCTCATATAAAGCTCTGAATCCGTGTCCGGGTTTGGCTTGCTTTTTGTCCTTTTTTTTTAGTTTCCATCAGCTCTACAACGTTTGAATTCGGTATTGGATTTTTGAATATTAAGGTTGTGATCATCATTGTAGATACACCTATTGTCGAAATACACATCTGGTCAGAAAATAAAAATGTACTTTAAATGTTATTATCTTGTACTTACTGTTGGTTGTATAGCATCTAGCCAAGCCCTGTAAATAAGTAATATATACATATTAGTGTAAATATAGTGTGCGATATATTTAAGATGAACAAACACAAATCAATTTCCTTCCCATTACTTTTTACAATTTTTTTAAAAGACTATATCCAAGACAAATTTGGAGGATATTGGGGGTAATAATAAACAATTCAGAGCACATTTGATACAGGTTTGAGTGCGCACATGTTTCTGGAATAACTGGCCGTCTTCGGGTTTGTAGGACATACATATTAATCTGAATTCAAACTCACTTCATTTCATCATCTCCTCCATCAAACAATATCCAGTTCATGACGATATTTTGTTTCTTCGTTCCTTTCTTGAAAATATTAGGTATACCCATCATATGAGTTGCCAATCTGCCTTTGGGAAGATCTGGTCTCCCTGTTATATGAAGACACATTGGTCCTACTGCCATATAGTTTGCTACCATCTGAAATCAACAACTGTTACGTTAGTATAAATGTAATCAAAGAGGGACGTAAATCGTGTTTACATACCATAAAAACACAAAAAAAAAGAAACAATTAAACAGGAGTGCAATATTTTGTCTAGCTCAATCTTGACAGGGAGAGTTTATAAGCAGTCAATGATCAATTACATACTTCTATGCATGTATGAACATAAATTGAAAGCAAGGATTTGAGCGCCCGCTTTTATTTAAATTCAGCGAACGAAATAATCTTATGTTTTAATATATGTATTTTCGACAGAAAAACAAAAATTCTGTTTTGATTGTCGAATGCCTAATTTAAACATGAAGTTCATGAATACTGTATATCTTATAAGGATCTTAAATAACATCAATAACTATTTTTTTATATTGAAGAAAAACGTCACAGCAAAACTGAGAGATGTGTATGTCGTATCATAAGTTTAAATGTGATGTGGTTATATGGTATACGTCTTTGTGTGTGGTTTTTTTTTCTCTTGTAACATTTAAATATGAAAGGTCTTAAGGATGAAAAGATCAAGATGTTCCTACATAATTAGAATTTTAGGCATGCCTTCCAAATGTAAGTTCACTCTTAAAATCTTAAGGATTTTCTACCCCAGGAATAAATTAGCTTAGCTGTATTTGGCAAAACCTTCGAAATTTTGAGTCCTCAATGCTCAACTTCGTACTTTATTTGGCCTTTTAACGTTTTTTATTCGAGGGTCACAGATGAGTCTTCTGTAGACCAAAACGCGCGTCTGGCGATAAAAGTATAAGACTGGTATCTTTGATGAGTTATTTAAATTTTTGTCACAATAAAATGACGACATTTAAACTGTAATATATAAAAAAAAGTTTTAAAAAAAATCACCTTCAGTTTAACACCACCACTGTGCTGGTAACTGCTGTGGTCGTTAAACCATATTAGACTGCTGTCTTGATACAATACAAAATATCGAGATTTCCAGCCTTTGCTAATGAATCCCTCTGTCAACAAATGTATATTGATATTAATTATAAACTTCATGTTAGAAATAAACTACAGGCAAAGGTGTATTTATGTGATGTAAATTATCTTATCTAGTATTGCATGAAGCTACAAAATGTATGTTTGGTTTCTTTGTATTTAATTTAAATGTTAGAACGGGGTGTTCTAAAAATACGTTCTGTTGTTGTTTCTTCTTTTCATCTTTCACTTTGTGATGCGCCATTAATAAGACATCTTGACCGCATATAAATGGAAAGTAGCAACTTACCAAGAATTTTCTCGTTGAAATAGTAATACCGAGTTTAATAAGATGATCGCCCAAAAAGAGTGGCATCATTACGCTAGTTGCTGTTATATCCGTTACTCTCAGTTATGTAATTAATATTCTTAACCTGTCCGTGAATTGTTATTTACTTTCATACTATTATCCTTATTTTTGTCAAGCTTATGTCTTTTATGTTGATTGATTTTTCATACGTACTTTCATAAATCTTCAGATAGCCTGTCTTTACCACAGGTGCAGTTGGCTCTACAAAAAATGCAAAGTTCAATGTATGTTAACAAGGAAATGTGTTATTAAAATCATGGACAGATTTTCATTTAATTCTTATATCGTCATTTGATGTAATTGTTTAAGTTAGAATCTTTACCTACCAGTTCATTTAATTGTACTTTCAAAAATTCTCCGACAACGTCTTTGGCTATAAAAAGGGTCATCCGTGCTAGACTTTAGTTAGGTTCATTTATTCCCCTCAATGGTAGAAATTCACAAAATCCTCATAATGGCTGAAAACTGATGGGCGTTCAATGACAAAAACAGTTTATTTAGCAATGAAAATATGAAAAAAACGATGTGATTTATACACGTAAACCATTGCATATCGTTGTGCCGCTTATCCCTTTTACCACTTTCTGACTACTAACTACTAACTACTATCTGAACAATAATCGAAAAGCTTATGCTGTCAGCTCCTTAAACTACTTTCAATAATAATTTTGAGCATGCTTGGCAGCAAGATTTTAAATGTCAATCCTAATTTAAAAGTCTAAGCAATGAGCAAGTATCTTGTGAAAAAAACCCAAGATTCTAACTAATAACCTTCATGCAAAAGTGAAAAACCTTCTGTGTTAATTTCGGTTTTTTTCTAGATTTTGATATACTTAGTATTACAATTTCTCAAGGTTAACGTTAAACCAGCATGTATAACAAACGGAAGGACTTGTCATATATTATGGTTATTTTTCGTTTCTTAAAAATTATTTCAATTAACGCAATATTTTCTTGCTAAAAGGTTTCTGCAGCAAAATATACATACCATAATTTGATGGTAGATATGGCTAATTTCATGCAAAACACGGATCGATTGTAAACGTATGATTGATCATTCCACTTGCATGAATTTGATTAAAAAATAGTTCTTTTTATTTAAAAAAAATTTAATTTGGATATTACACACAATCATGAGTTCTACAATTTTCATGACGTCGTGGTATGAAATCTACCTGGTAGTACAGAGGTAAATATTTAAGAATAATTAATAAAGCATGATTTTTTTGGGGTTCAAACAGGTATTAACAAAAATACCGAACTCCAAGGAAAATTCAAAAAGGGGGAAGTCCATAAAAACTAACCAAATCAAACGATAGACTATATCAACCAACGGAACAAATGGCAACCACTGTCATTTTCCTGACTTGGAACAACCATTTTTCCGAAGAAAATGGTGGATCAACAGATAACTAAGTGAGCAAATTCAGCCAGTTTATACAACTGCGAACATATTTTCATACAGTGTTACATTTACACATTCTTGTTTCATTGAGCAATTTTAATCTTATTTTTGGACTGGGAATATTATACGGCGATTGAAATAATAAATAAGTAAAATTAATTGTGTGACAAAAAATAAAGCTTAATATTTTTCTTTCAAGTATGACTAATTCCAAATATTCTTTGATCCCAACAATTTTTTCAATAACATTTGGAAATATGAATGATTCGCCTCTCTATCTATACTGCCAAAATCTATACTGCCAAAATTGAAAGGCAAATGAAAACAGGTTTTATTTTAACTCCTATGTGGGGTTGCTGTTGCTCAGTATATAGTTTTTTATGTTGTGTTTCGTGTACTGTTGTTTGTCTTTTGATCGTATTTTGTTTTTAGCCATGGCGTTGTCAGTTTGTTTTCGACTTATGAGTTTGAATATCCCTTTGGTACCTTTCGCCTCTCTTCAATATGTGTTAACTCCATAGGTTGACTGGGGTATCAAAATATGGTAATTCTTAGACTTGTATAAATTCGAGGCAAGGTCAGGTCAGAATGAGGACGTTAAATCGTCTCGTGTAGGGAGAATCACGTTAAAGACCCTTTGCAACATATTTCTAAGACCCCTTGTACAACTTTCTGAGGGGTCTCTTGGTGGTCTATTACAAGTCAAAATTTCTGCAACTATCCAACATACCCAAATATGGAAACGAGCTGTGCGCCTCTCCTTGTCGACTCTTATTTTCATATGAGTCGGAGTTCCTTCAGACTCTTGTTAAAAACAAGAAGATCAAAGAAGCCAGATCATTTAACTTCACATTCAGATATATTGATGATGTTCTTTCCATTAACAACCCAAACTTTTCTGATTAGGTTCCATTTATATATCCTCCAGAACTAGAAATTAAAGAAACAACAGACACGTCTTCTTCCGTCTCATTTTTAGACTTATACCTCGAATTTGACATAAGCGGTCATCTTAGACTTTATAAAACGTCACCAGCGTCTGAGCAGAAAGTTGACGAACCAGGGTTACGTCAAAGAACGTCTCGGCCTTTTTCTTAAAAAAGTTCATCGGAAGATACCAAGACCTTGTTGATAAATATTCAGTATGAACTTCACAAATAATACATGATGGTCTTGAAGTATAGACTCTAGGTATTGACGTTGTTTATCATCTTAATTACGTGTTATAGTTTTCTTTTCATTTGTCTTTGTATATCTTTAACCTTTACTGTTTAGTCCATTTTTGGTAATATCCTTTTGGCGTGGCCTGATATTTATACATCCCACCATTGCGTTATTGTGCCATGGTCATTTTTTTTTATTCTTGTCTTCTATCTTGCAAAACCTACCCAATAGCCAGTACATTGAAATTTACTATCATAACATTTTGGAAATCATTTTAAATGAAGGAATGCATCTCCCTCGTGCAACTTTTGGTCCTGTTTGGTTTTATTGGCTCTTCAACGTTTGTATTAGGTTTTCGATTTTCAAATATTTTAGCCTCAAGCATCACTGAAGATAAATTGATTGGCGCAATGCGCATCTGGTGCAATAATTTTGTACCGTTAATGTTATTAAAATTATTTTTTTCTCTCGTCCTGTATTATGCATGAAATAGTTGTCACTGGACGTACAGTAAACAACAGTCATTCAATCAATCTGTTAGTACTTCAGCTTATGATTTTTTCTACTGAATCTTCACAAACATGTAGTAGGAGACGTTTACACTGTCGATATTTTAAGTATCACTCCGTTTGGACTTCGCGCGATTTTATCAAGTTTAAATGTCCCGCCTACGATAGAAGGGTGCAATATGTTTTCTGGTATATGCGTCCGTCCGTCCGTCGTTGTATCAGGTTAAAGGATTTGGTTATGGTAGTTTACTTTTTTCAAGTTGTGGTCAAAACAGCTACAAACTTACTACACGAGTTTATTATGATGTGAACTTGTTTAGTTATATACCAATATACGGTTTTTACCCCTAATTTCACAGTTTGCTGAAAATGGAAATGTGATAGGGTGAATTCAGTATATTATCCTGCATGTTAGAGTTTTTGGTTAAGTTGGCTTATCGTAAAGTTGAGGCCACTTCAACTTGAACTTGAAACTTAGTACACATGTTCATTATGATATGACCTATTTAAATTATATTCAAAATTAGGAATTTGATCCCAATTTTAAGGTTCACTGAACATAAAAATATATTGAGAGCTAAGCATAGTGTTCTATGGACACAGATTTTTGTTTCTCTTCGTTTGTATATTCAAACTGGATTAACGTGTTATGAACATCGATAAACCACTGTAGCATCTTATTTACTTAGATGTAGCAGTATTTTTCCTAATGCTTATAATGAAAGCCTCTCAAAAATAGTATTAATGTGCATTCTCCTATACATCTCTTGTTGCTCACCAATGTAAAAAGAGAAAAATTAACTATTGAACACAAAAATGAGTTGCACCTCTTTGTATGTCAATGCGTCTGTCTGTCTTATGTCAGAAACCATGTTTCTGCTGTCCTTAATTATCGTGTCTCTGTGTGTTCGCACGAAGGATATTGCCTATAATACTGTTAGATGACTGTATGTTGATCTCTAATCTCTTTTATTTTGTTGTACTGTAGGGTTGCGGTTTCGAAAAATTACTCAATTAATCATACATTTTATTCTATCACACTGTAGCCTTATTGGATAGAGTTTAATGCTTTTCACGACCGAAATGCAGAAATGTTTAGCATTGAGTAATAAACGACAATGAATTATGCATCTGGGTTTGGCAATGGATGAAATAAAGTAAGTAAGCAGCATCTAAATATAGTATTTTCACTGAAGTATCTTCTCCTTCTTTTTCAAGCTTGTCGTAGTATTTTAAATTACCACACAAGGCTAAACAATGTATCACCAACGATGCTATTGTTGATATGGTTTAGCTAGAAGTATATGACGTAGTTAACATTCTTTAAATGAGTTTTAATCTTCCAATCAATATGACATATCTGAGAAATATAATGGTGTATTATTCCAATGGGAATTCGAATCGAATAACATAACACTCTGACTGACCTCAAACAAATGAGGAAATTGATACAGTTTTAATTCCCGCTTTTTGTGCCCTCGGTGGCTGTTCAAAACTTCCGCCGTTCAATCATGACGGCCTATACCTTGCAGAAGCTACCTATTGTATTAATTGTTAACACTTGACTTTCTCGTCCTGAATATGCACATGCATAATTGTCACTGGAAGTTACCGGTTTAATAGTTCGTCGATCTGCTCAAACTTTCATTTTAGATGAGCATGTATTTTAAGATTAAATTTGTAGTCTTGTATGAACTCTGCTACCGGTATTTCTTATACAGTGCGTTGCTTAAGACCTCTTTCAGAGGCTTGTTTTCCGTCATATGTTTTTTAAACATTTCCTCACAGGCGGTTTACTTTCCACAAGACAGAAAATCGGAATAGAGGGGCAAAATATATAAATCAGTATTATTTTTGTATTGTTTAAATAAGAGAGCAAGTACAGTTTAAACAAGTGCAAAAAGGTTTTAAAATTAAAGAAATATTTACTCAACAAAAATGGAATGCACAAAGCGCCTTTTTATTTCCTTTGACACCATTTTGAAACGTGTGTCATGTGTCTGTGTGATAAACCATTTAGTTGGAATTCAATAGTGGAATTCGAGTTGAGATGCATCCCTTAAAAGTTATTAAACTTTCACAACCCACTTGTTTTAAAAATAACCATAATGATATTTAAAAAT